CTACTCCTACTCCTACTACGCCTACTCCTACTCCTACAGGAGGTTTGCTGCTTTTATAACTATGACTCTTGAGGCATCCAAGCAAAAATTTACTTCAGACCTATGAGCACCTTTTGGCAAACTGTCACAAGATTTTTCACCAGTTGCCAAGTATTTATTTTTGTTGATGATTGGTTGGTTGGTTGGTTGGTTGATTGATTGTCTAGACCACTCTTCATCAGAGGAACACAGGTCAGTTTACAACAAGCAAGTTCAAATGTAAGATTTGAGCCTTTGCAACATTTGGTTGCAAAGTGTGAACACAGCATTATCATACGCCAACAAAACAAAACTTGTAAGATTGCAAAGAATAATTAATTCTTATAAGACCCATAATAACACACAGGCTTTGCGACTCACCCACCCACCTCTCACTGGCATAGCAATGAAACTGCTGGCACATATGCAAAGCTAAGCAGGGTCCAGTGTGGTTTCAAATTGGATTGGGGAACCGCATGTTGAGATTCCTGCATGGCAATTCTATGAGTCTAAGACTGTGAGACAAGGGGCTCCACTGGGCACATCTTGTCCCAAAGCCCCACAACAGCCTAAACTAGCACTGACATAAATACTCAGCAGTAAACCCAGTTGTGCCTCTGCATAACGTGCAAAGCAGCAAGCTGAAAGTCCCAGGTTCGAAATGGTACATAATGAGCTAACAAAATACTTTTGTTAAAAAACCAGAAGCCTTTTTACTGGGTATAGTGAATGAAGAGATACCAAGGGAAGATAAAAGACTGTTTATGTATGCAACAACTGCGGCAAGAATTCTTTTAGCCCAAAAATGGAAACAAGAAGTACCAACGAAAGAAGAGTGGCAGATGAAGATGATGGACTTTGCAGAACTGGCGAAGCTGACAGGAAAAATCCAAAACCAGCATGATCAAGTATTCCAAAAGGACTGGAGTAAATTTATACGATATATGGAAGATTATTGTAAGCAATAACATCACTAGCAGGGTTGTCTGAAGACTTGTAACAAGAAATTTTCTGTCTTTCTATATTTATTTAAATGTTGAGCCATTTTGTAATGAGTGTAATTAGAACTGGAAAATGTACAAAATGCAATGAATTATAAAGGTTAATTTTGAAAGCCATGAGGCAGGAGGGAAGGAAGTTGATAGGCTCTAAAGTGCCAAAGCAGTAAAGTGGATAATGATGATGTGAATGTATAATATTAAATGGAATACACACACACACACACACACACACACACACACAGCATCTTCAGGCTTGAGGGCATAGGAACTAACTCCTAGGGGCTGTAGGGGCTTCGGCCCCCACAATAAAATATTTGCAGGGGCTGGCCCCCACAAAGTTGATGGACATTTCCATTCCCATTGTGTGTGTATGTGCACTGCATCATGCGATCGATTATGCACAGATGTTACTGGTCCAGAGATGGAAAGCAGATAAAGTCCCTATCAGAGAAGAATGGCAGATCAAGTAGATGGATTCTGCCAAAATGGCTAAAATGACCCATAGAATCAGAAATCAGGAAGACCAAAAGTTTAATAATGAATGGGGAAAATTTATAACTTATCTTAAAGACCATTGTAAACAGTTAAAATCGTTAGTAGGATTGGAATATCACTTGTAGTTTAAAGGTGAATTTTGGATACAATGGAGAGATAAAAGATCTGGATTATTATAAAAGATGCAGGAGGAAATAAGTAACAGTAGGATCCACAAAGGGGAGGAGGGAAGTCCAAGAGATTCCTTGGAATCTAGTTTTTATGTTGCATATGTGACTGTAAAATTTCAATCTGAAAAACCAAATAAATAAATTTCTTTAAAAAAAAAAAGATTATGCGGGGCATAATGATACATGCACAATATTTTTATTCAAGTTGGCACCCCTGTTTGGGAGAAGCCCCTGTCTGAAATCCTGGAGAGCCCTGTAGACAACAATGAGCTATGTGGACCAATATCCTGACTCGGAACAAGTGGGAGATGCTGTACTTATGTTTTCCATCTCTTCGTTACGGCTGCTTCTTTTCCTATAACTTTCTCCCCAAAGGAGACAAGTAGAACGCACGACTGCAGTCTCCTCGGGGCCGAGACCCAACCTTTTGCTCCTTCTGTTCTCCTGCAAAGCGCTCGAGAATAGAAGCGTCGCTCAGGTAGGAGGAATACTCTCCGGAGACTCTTATCTTTCCGCTTAGAGAGCGCCAGTCCCCAAGTAAGGGGAGGAGAGATCCTCTCCCCGCGAAACTCACTCGGTGCAAAGCGACCTCTCCAACCCGCCCCTGGGGCTGTTGCCGGAGTGACCCGGGAGGGGGAGGAGGAGGAGGAGGAGTGGGGTGGGGAGGAGTTAATAACTTTCAGTTTAGGGCATTATGGGAAAGCAGGGCGAGCGGCTGGGAGTTCACCTGTGCCTGCGGGGGGGAGGGGGGAAGACCCGCACAGGGCACGGGGCTTGGAGCCACCCGGGGTGGGGAGCGCCTCTCTGGCAGCCATGGTGAGTACCCCCGAGGGGGAGCGCGGGGTTGGTTGGGCTGACACAGCTCCGGGGCTCCGGGGAGCCGGGAGGAGGAACTACCTGCTGGCGCCAGGTGAAGCAGCCTCCGCGCAGGAGAGAGGCAGGTCGGGCAAGGCTCGCCCTTGAAAAGCGCACAGAACATCTGCTGGGCTTTTCCTGCTCCTTTTTTTTGCAAGGAAACGGGAACAGGACGCAAAGTTTGCAGGAGTTGATGGGTCGGTCGGTTGCCCAGGGGGCTTTTCTCTCTTTCTAGGCTTGAACCGGCTATTATAGAGTTAATCGACCCCCCCCCTTTCCGCGTTTTTTCCCTTGCGCGGTATTGTACGCGCGCTCTCTCCCTTTCTGACATTGCAAGAGAGGAGAGGGCAGGAGTTGGGTGGCGCATATCTTCCTCCACCTGTTGCTGGTTCAGGGTCAAGGGGGCGGGGAGATAAGAGCCAAGTGCTGCAGGAACTGGGACCACCACACCCAGTTTCTGTGTTCAAGCCCAGCCCCCATTCCCTTCCACTCAATTCAACGGAGGGATGTTGGGAACAAACTTTGCTGGAGCAGTGGTCAACACAAGGTAAAGGTAAAGGGACCCCTGACCATTAGGTCCAGTCGTGACCGACTCTGGGGTTGCGGTGCTCATCACGCTTTATTGGCCGAGGGAGCCGGCGTACAGCTTCCAGGTGATGTGGCCAGCATGACTAAGGCGCTTCTGGCGAACCAGAGCAGCGCACGGAAACGCCGTTTACCTTCCACCAGAGCGGTACCTATTTATCTACTTGCACTTTGACGTGCTTTTGAACTGCTAGGTTGGCAGGAGCAGGGACCAAGGAACGGTCGAACAGGGAGCTCACCCCGTTGCGGGGATTCAAACTGCCGACTTTCTGATCAGCAAGTCCTAGGCTCTGGGGTTTAACCCACAGCACCACCCGTGTCCCTTAAATAAATCGCCTGGAGCACTGTCAACTAAAACAATCAAGTGCCACTTGGAAGTTGTGCAAGGGGTATTTCAGGAGAGGGCTGCCAGCTTTTAACAGCGGTGTGATAGGCAGGTTTCCATCAGGGGCAGTCCCCCCCCTTCAGCTTTGAATGTACAGTGGTACCTTGGGTTAAGAACTTAATTCGTTCCAGAGGTCCGTTCTTAATCTGAAACTGTTCTGAACCTGAAGCACCACTTTAGCTAATGGGGTCTCCCGCTGCCACTGCGCAGCTGGAGCACGATTTCTGTTCTCATCCTGAAGCAAAGTTCTTAACCTGAGGTACTATTTCTGAGTTAGAGGAGTCTGTAACCTGAAGCATCTGTAACCTGAAGCGTATGTAACCTGAGGTACCACTGTACAGGGATGGTGAAAGCTGTACCTGACAGGTTTCTGTCTATCATGCAGGTATGAAGAGCAGGGGAATGCCACACCTGTGTTAGAAAAAAAGTTAGCAAAGGGTTTCTCCCCCTCTCCAGCTAACGTTTGGGTGGGTTATTTTATTCTCTTTGTACTTTGGGAAACGAGAAACTGCTATATAAAGATAATAGGAATTTATTGCAATAAAACTTCCCTGGTTGGGAATGGGATTAATTGGGAAGGTCTTATTTCACTATCTGGGTTTGAGAAATCATCACAGGTCAGAAAGGAACCTCCTTCTAGCTAGAAATGCCTCACAACCTCAAAGAGTTTTCTGTCAGTGGTGCCGTGTGCCTTGTATCACTCGCTCGAGACATCTACACCTGTCTGATTTGCATGCACCTTAGTGTGGTGGCTCCTCATTCACTCTGAGCTTCTGCTTGTGGTATGCTGTGGCCTGCATTTAACCCGCAGAGGGGATCCTTCAAAGTTTGGACCTCTGTGGCGATCCTCTGATTCCAGATGCAACCCTAACCCCACTTACCTGGGTCTGACTTCTGAGCAGATGTGGTTTAGTTATCCGCTAAAACTAAAATCCATTTTGTCTGCGAAGGTTGGCGGGCAGAACTGGGCCAATGCATTAATAGTGCTCAAGTAAAAGAGCAAGTAAAAGAGCTAATCTGTTGAGCAACGAATGAGGTGGCCAAGAGTTTAGGGTGCCTGACGACATTCCTGAGCTGAAATCAGGTTCCTCCTGGTTCCATTCTCAATGGGTGACCCCTTGGCCTATCTACTTCACTGGTATGTGTAGTACATTTCCTTTGTAGGCTTATTGTCAGGTGGATTTTGACCCTCGATTTGCATGTGGTTTCACTTGCCTCTCTCCCTCTCCCTCTTCATATTGACTTTGCTTTGTGTAGTTCAAACAGGCCCTTCAATTAATGGTAATGTGAGTAGTTTTATCTAAAATACCAAATCAATGGGAGGCTGGGTGGAGCCAACTTATTTGCTTTTCTAAATCAGCAGCCTGGTGATGGCTTTCCAAGAGATTTAATCCATGCACTTCTCTTCGGAAGGGACCCAGCGCAGTCATAGAACACCTGCTGTGCGTATAGAAGGCCCCGGGTCCCATCTCCTGGTCTGACTGGGAATGCCCCCAGTCTGAAATCATGAAATGCTACCAGCCAGCCAGTATACGACAGCTTCCTACTTTCTCCTCTTTCACGGTTAGGAATGGGAGAGAAGGCAATCACTTTCCTCTGGTTGCGAAGCTGCCTGATAGCAAGCCAGATCATTTGTTCATCTAGCTCAGTGCTTCTCAAACTTGTTGTTGGACTATAACTCCCATCATCCCTGACCACTGGTCCTGCTAGCTGGGGATGGTGGGAGTTGTAGTCCAACAACAGCTGGGAATCCTCTATACCAGGCCTAGGCAAACTCAGCCCTCCAGATATTTTGGGACTACAATTCCCATCATCCCTGACCACTGGTCCTGCTAGCTAGGGATCATGGGAGTTATATTCCCAAAACATCTGAAGGGCCGAGTTTGCCTAGTCCTGCTCTATACATCTGGTCCTTCCAGGTGGTGTTGGACTCCTTATCCCTGACCATCAACTCTGCTGTTGATGGGGCTGAGTGGAGAAGTAGTCCAACAAGTTCTTGAGGGCCACAGCTTCTCCATCCCTGGTGGGTACCGATTGGCAGCAGCTCTCCACGGCCTCAAGCAGCAGTTTCTCTCTACTTGGAGATGTCAGCGATTGAACTCAGGACCTTCTGTGTGTTTCACCACTGAACAATGGGCCCTCTCTGCTGTTACATGTAGGCCTGAAGTCCCAATGTGGTGTCTCTCCCAGTTTTTGGCTTTTGTGTGGTTTGGTTGGGGGGACACTTGGCTGTTTGGTCCTTGTGGGGGTTTTTTTGGGGGGGCATGTATAGGTATGTTTCTTGTTGCTTTTTCAAGTGTGTGTGGGATGGTCTAAGCATCATCCATTTGTTCTTCTGTGAAATGGGTATTTTCTGGTATCCATGACAGTTTCTTAGGTTTCCAGCTGTGCCCCATGGCCCAAAACTCTGCAGACCCTGGATGTAAATCAGATAGCAATGATTGCTGATGCAGTTTGTGTGGGGAGGAAGAGACCATCCTGCCTCACTAAGCTGCTTCTACCTTTCCTACTGCAGGGAAACACCCAGGGATGTATTTAAACTCTTTGCCACTGGGTGTTCCAGAAGTCCAGTGTGACTCCAGAATCTGTGACAGGTTAGCTGAGGCTAGAGGGGAGGATTTACAAAGAACCATATATTTTCCCCCCCTGTATGCATCAACCCCGCGTCAACTGTTTATCCCATTAGTTGTGTTCTAAATGTTCCCCGTCCTTAAGCAGCTGCCAAAGATGTGGGGCAAAGCATTGTGTGATGAAATCGGGACATGGGCTACATTCTATGATGCGTTTTATGGCGTGGAGAGCTAGTGTGGCAGAGTGATTAGACTGCCAGACTAGGACCTGCGAGGTAAAGGGACCCCTGACCATTAGTTCCAGTCGTGACCGACTCTGGGGTTGCGGCGCTCATCACGCTTTATTGGCCGAGGGAGCCGGCGTACAGCTTCCGGGTCATGTGGCCAGCATGACTAAGCCGCTTCTGGCGAACCAGAGCAGTGCACGAAAACGCCGTTTACCTTCCCGCCGGAGCGGTACCTATTTATCTACTTGCACTTTGATGTGCTTTCAAACTGCTAGGTGGGCAGGAGCAGGGACCGAGTAACGGGAGCTCACCCCGTCGCGGGGCTTCGAACCGCCGACCTTCTGATCGGCAAGTCCTAGGCTCTGTGGTTTAGCCCACAGCGCCACCCGTGTCCCTGGGACCTGGGAGACCAGGGTTCAAACTCCCACTTGATCATGAAGCTCACTGGGTGACCTTGGGCCGGTCACAGCCTCTCGGCCTTGCTTACCTCACAGGGTTGTTGTGGGAAGTAACTGCAGAAGGGTGAGCCATGTGTGCCTCCTTGAGCTCATTAGGGGTGGGGCAAGGGGGTATAAATGCAATGCAATCAATCAGTGTCATAGAGAGGGAGCATATGGCATGAGGCCAGTCCTTTTTTTTTCCTGGGGGGACGCAGGGGGACACATACCCCTTAACATTTTGTGAATCTTTTGTACTTTTGTCTATTTACTGTCATTATTTCCCCCGATTTGAACTATAAAATGGTGATTTTTCTTGAGTCAAAATGAGAGTACCCCTAAACACTTTTTAAAAGAAAAAAAGCACTGCATGGGGCTTTTGTCAAAAACAGCAGCCTTTGTGTTTTGCTGTTGTAAATGTGTACTCTCCTCCGAGAAGCACATACTTCTTGAGCGACTCCATACCTAAGCTAATATTTGAACCCAGGCCTTCCAGGTCCAGTTCAAACACATGGATTTCTCATTTCATCTGCTTATCTCTGGGCAGCGTAGCACAATGCTTTCAGGAAAGTGAACTTGTAGGAAAGTTTCCTAAGACTTTGCTGATCACTGGTTGTTGCATAAAACATCAAAACAAAACATTTTCAAAAAAACCCCACCCACTTGAAACTATTGATAACTCAGACTGAAAGCTTCCGAACAACTGTGTGAAACTTTACAAACATATAGAAGAAGAAAGGTGCTCATGTTGGTCTGT